TGAATATACACACATTCACTTTTTTGTAATCTGCCAACTGCCAAAAACTTATCTTTTTTGTGGTTGCATGGCTCCAATGAAAATTCCGACAACATTATCTACAAGATTGCATGTGCCAATTCTTTTAAAAAGAAAAAAAAAAAAGGGGGGGGGGGGTGTAAAAATAAGAAGAAAAATAATAATAAAATCTTCCAAATATTTTTTTATTAATAATTTACTTTTTATAAATTAAGAGTTACACTAAATTGGGTTTTTAATTTTTAACAAATTTAAATTTATAATATAAAAAGCTGCAAAAAAATTGATCCTTTATATAAAAATCAAATAGATGCATTTTTTTTTCTTCTAATTATAAGAAACATAAATTTATTTTAAATGTATTAATTATTAACTTCTTTTTATGTTTTTAATTTAGTTTTCAGTGAGTGATATAATATGTTACCTTGATTGTTTCTTCTTTCTTACAAGATCATCATCATCATTATTTTTAAATTTTTTTTAATATTTCTTCATTGTTATATATTTAATTACTTATCACCACCAAGTTGTAACAATCTCTGAGTTCGTTGTAACAATCTTTAAGTTTGAGTATCATTAAAATAAATAAATAAAGACTGTTTCCATTCATGGGTTAAATAGGTGCAGATATATTGATTTACTTTTTTTTTTTTCTTTCTTCAGATTAATCTAAGTTAGTTTACTGCCAATCTGTGCCGACTTTTTTTTTTTTTTTTTTTTTTTCATTTTTGTTATCATAAAAGTTTTAAAGAATTTTTTTTTTATTTACATATAAAATTCGTAGGGGGCTAAAAGTAATTAAGTAAATAGGAAAGAAAGAAGAAGCGAAATATGCATATATTTTGACAACTATATATTTTAAGAAGTTCCTTACTTATCAAATATCACATTTACATATGGGTCGTATAGCTAGACCAGCTTGTCAAATGATGATTTTAAATTAAATTTAATTGATTTATATTATTTTAGACTTGTTATTTTTCCGTTCAATCTAATCTATATTGGGTTATTGGATCAAATTAGTTTTAATTAAAAATAAAAAAATGATTTTATGTCCAAAATAAAAAAATTAAATATATTTTTTTATAAAAAAAGGTCAACATTTATTATTATTTATTCATTTTAATAAAAATATGAATGAATGTTTTGAAATTAGAGGGTTGAGAAACAATTATTCTATCAATAAAAAAATATAAAGATAAATAAATTAGAATAAAGAATATAATTATATATATATATATATATTATTTAATTTACAAGAGTGAAATTCATCTTATTTTAATTTTCTTTTTTTATAATTTTTTCCAAAGATGACAAAAGGAAATTTTTTTACTAAACTCTTAACTTATCTTTCAATGTACTATATTTTAATTTATATTTTCTAACAATTAATATTAGTATTGAATTATTAATTTTTTTTTATTTTTTTATATAATCAATTTAAAGTTAATAGACCGGTTTGACTTAAACTTATTTAGTTTATCGAGTTGTGTAGGTCAAGTTAAAATGATCATATTTTATTTAGATCATTTTTATTAAAATTTGGCTTGATCTTATTAACGAATTAACTGAATCGATCAGATTTAATTCGACAATTTAACATTTATCATTAAGATATGTATATGATTTTAAGTTAAACTTCTCTGTTTGATGAATAAAAAAAAAAAAAAAAAAAAAAAAAAAAAAAAAAAAAATTTTATAATTTACATTTAATTCATAAATCTTTGACAAACAAATTGTTTTGATGCATAAATAAAAACATTTTTGGACGGTGAAGAACTGAAGACAGAAGAGAAAACGTGTAAACTAGTTGAAACATAGAAACCTTTTATGATGCACATATGACATTAAAATTCTGAGGTTGAAAATGGTTACATGTTTCGTCGCTGGTAGGTTGCCACCTAATTAAAGTTAGTACGCGATCCAACATCGTCCAACAAAACACCATGTTCACACAAATGTGTCAGCATGCTGGAATTAAAGAATAAAACGCAATTTTGCTACCAGGTTTTGGTCAAATATTTGAAACTCATTCTGCACACGTTTTGTTCCTCTGACACCTGTCCCAAACCATGTTTCAAACCCATCTGAAATTTTTTTATTTTCGATAAATATTCTTTTGATTAGAAACTTTGTACGACATTTAACTTTCATATACAATATTTTCTAAATACTTATTTATAATTTTCTATAATTTTATTGCAATTAGGGGTGTCAAATGAGTTGAATTAGATTGATCTGACTCAATTTTATTTGTATGAATTAAATTTTATTTTAGATTAAATTAATTTGATCTAATCCTTTCAGACAGTTATTTTTTGGCCTAATTGGCTCATGGACCAAATCATGCTATCAAATCATTGGACCAAATTATTTTAATTAAAAAAATATATTAAAAAAATTTAAATATATTTTTATAATAAAAAATAAAAATTATAACATGATTAATTGATATTATATACTTTCATGAAATATTTATATTTTTTTTGTGCAAATGATAACTGAAATGCGATAGAAAAAATGTTAAAACAAGAAGAAAAAAAATCCAATTAGTTAGATAAATATACTTAAAAAATTGAGCGAGAAAAAAAACATATCAAAAAGAAAAAGGAGGTTTCTTAGTTGAGAAGCTAAAACTATTCAAATTTTGAAATAGTAGTGATTCATATAGTGAAGTGGTACCTTGTAATTTCGTGGTCTAAGTGATGACAATGAGTTGTTATTATCACTCTGTAAGCAAATACATGACATGTCTGTGTCTTTGTCTTTTTTGATAAATAAAATAGAGATGACGAGTTATGAAATCAAGTCATCAAAAACATAACAAGAGAGACAAAATCCCCATAATTCTGAAGCAAATACAAAAGAGTGACAAAACTATTACTATTATAGTATTATTATATTTTAGTATATTATTTTATAATACATTACAAATTTACATATTGATGGTAATTCAAATTATTCTACTTAGGGTGTGTTTGGAAACTAGTTGAGTTCAACCCAACTAAGGTTGATTAAAAAAACTATATTCATAAGCCTTTACTTTTTCTGCATTGGAATATATATTTTTCTATTTTCATGGTTTCAAACTGGTATCCAAACAACTTAGTAGTTTAGCGGGTCAATCCGTAAGATTGTGAGTCAGCTTGACCTAAGCCCCTTTGACTTGTTGGGCTTAGGGGGACACACCAAAATGGTCTGATTCTATTTAGGTAATCATTTTTAAGGTCTAACTTGATCTCATTTGTGAACTAACTGAACAGACCCATCAAATCATACTCAAATTAACAGCTCAAATTATAATACTTTAACTAAAATATTTCTTTACACTTCATTCAATCAATGATTGTTATTTTCACATAATAAAAAAATTATTAACTATTATAATAATTATTTAAAAATTATATTTAAAGTAATTTTTAATTAATTAATCGTGTAATGATTTTTAACAATGTATAAATATTACATAAATTATACACACTCATTTTCTTTCTATAAAACCATACTTTAGTGTTAGAATTCTTATAAGTACATGATCGAAAATTCGACTTGTACAAACTTAATTAAAGGCTTATTTGCATATAGATTTAAGAGAATTGAATGTTTCTTTATTGAAATTAAAGATTTTTTTTAATAAAAAAATGTTTGAAAAAAATTATATTTATATTTAAACATGCTTCAGACTTTTATTTGGTATTCCTTCTTTATGATCTTGTGCTAAACAAAAATTAAAGGTATTTTTTATATAATTATTTAATTTGGTATTCCTTCTTTATGATCTTGTGCTAAACAAAAATTAAAGGTATTTTTTATATAATGATTTAATGTAATGATTGGAGTTGAAATTAGAGATGACAAATATATCCGTACTCGCGAGTAATACCCGAACTCGTCCTGACTTTACCTGGTTTGATTGGGTACGAGTACGGGTACGGGTACGGGTAAAATTTGATATATTAAATCGGGTACGGGTACGGGTATGTACTTATCCGCCCTGTACTCGTATCCGTCCTTGTTCTCATTTTTAATTTAATACCTACTTTCAATTTAATTATATTAAATTTTAATAATTTTTTATGTGTGATTATTTATTATAATATGAGATAGAGAAATAACCTAATTATAATTATAATATAATAAAAAATAATTTAAAAATATCATATATTTTTTTACAAAAAATAAAAAATAAAAAAATTGATGGGTATGGGTACGGGTATGAGTATACCTGATATCCGACGGAGACGGGGATGGAGATAAAAATCATATACCCGACGGGTATGGGTATGAGGACGGGGATAGGTTTGACTCGCGGGGACAAGGACGGGTATCATGAAACCAGTACCCGACCTGCCCCATTGCCATCCCTAGTTAAAATAGTATGTATAAGTTTTTATTTTTTTTACAAAAATAATAATGATGAAATGTTAGTATATAAAAAGAGTTAATTACATATACATTTTACAATGACAACCAATCATATCTTTTTTTAATAGTGTCATGTTAATTACTTATTTAATGAAATAATAATAAAATAAGTAACTTTAAAAGATATGATTAGTTATCAGTGTAAAAAACTTTATATTGACGGTATACGAATGATTAACTCATAAAAATATCAACAATAGTAAGTTTTTTTTATAAAAAAAAAAAAAAAGTTATGATTATGATAGCGATTTACCCAATTTATTTATAAATAACATGTTTCGATAAGAACCATTTGTTTTGGTTCACTTAAAACTCGTGAATAATGAAGGGCTAATAGGTGGGTTAGATGATGACCCTAGAAAATACGAGCAATCCAGTAGAATTTGAGATTCAGATCTTCTCCTGAGTTACTGGGACCATAAAGTTGTGACACTATACAAGTCATATTTGAGTTATATACTTTTCAAGCACATAATAATAAAACTAAAAATCCAAGCCACCAATATGTGTGGCTCCAAATGCTTCTATGTTGTGATTCACACTATAGTCCAATTCCAAACCACTGGCTCTCCGATTTACACACAAATATGAAATATCCCTTCTTTCACACCCAAAATATAAGCCATTAGAACCATCTATCTCAGGCTCCAAGAGGCTAAAACAAAAGCACCTCTAGTCTTGTTATATTCACACAGCAAAGAGGTAAGGAAGCATAAACAAATGGCCACTTCAATTTCTGCAAGTGGGTGTGTTGGTTCTTCCTTCTATGGAAGCTGGGGCACTTCAATTGTTGGTGATGATTACGCCACGCTGGCCAAGTCAGTGCCATCACAAGTTCGCATGGGGAGGGGAAAGCCAGTGAGGTTGCAACCCATGATGAAGAATGTCAATGAAGGGAAAGGTATCTTTGCACCTCTTGTGGTGGTCACTCGTAACATCATTGGCAAGAAGCGTTTCAACCAGCTTAGGGGCAAAGCCATTGCTTTGCACTCCCAGGTGAAATTTTATGTTCTTGTCAGTAGTTGGTGTTACCCTTTTGCTTGATTTGAGAATTTTGTTTGTGGGGTGGTGAAAATTTTAACTTAGGAAGACAGCTTCTCTAACAGAAAAAGCTCTTTAATTTATTTTCGATGGATAAGTTCTCAAAAAAATTCTTCTAAGTTTGTATTCAAATGTGAATTAGGCTTATTATGTTATGTGTGTAGTTTATCTGGTTCAAGCTTGGTTAGCTTGGTTTGATTGAAGGATTTTGGAATCTGTTGAAACAGAAGTACAAGTAGAGAATCTATGAAAGTGAGATGAATATGAAAACACTGACATGTAGAAAGGTTAAGAATAAAAGATTGGAGAACAAATGAATTTGGATCCATTTTTCCCCCAACGTTAACTATCCTTTGTGTTGATCTGGTTTGAGGTTTGTTAACATTGTTGGGGCATTTGAAATTTTAAGAATAAATTGAATTAAGGGGAAACGGACTACACTTATATAGTACACATCTTGAATGACCAATTACAAAAGACTAATATGTTAAGGGGTTCTAAGACAACTTAGAAAACACCAATATGTTATAAGGGGTCCATAATTACCATTTTCCCCCCTAAATTACCCAAAGAAAGGCATTCAAGATTTGATTTGAGGGAAAAGAAATTGAGAATTTTGTTCAAGCAACTGTTTCAAAATGTTGTCGGCCATGTTTTTTTAATGAATAACATTGATGTAGGCATGAAACATGTCATTTATGCTGAACTTTGAACCTTTGAAATGTTAGGTGATCACGGAATTCTGCAAATCAATAGGAGCAGATGCAAAACAGAGACAAGGGCTGATCAGGTTGGCCAAGAAGAATGGAGAATGGCTTGGGTTTCTTGCATGATAGATTAGCAAATGTTCCCCACATTTTGTAATTACCATGTGAGAAAGTTTCAAGTTTAAACTTGATGGTTTTCAATTGACAGCAGAATGTAAACTAGGAACTTGTCTCTCTAGATGTGATTTTTCATTCTTAAGTAATGTTCTCTTATTTTGTTCTCCTGATACATGAAATGTTATAAAACCAGAGGTGCTCTATATATCAACGGTGATACAAGGGACAAAGCAATGTTATTTATACACCATATTTTTCACATTTTTTTCGTTGCCCTTTTTGTGAACTATTTTAGTAAGAAAAGTTTATCCTATTTCAACTTCTGTCCTTGATTCCTCTAAAACCTCAGATTATTTTCCCAAATTATATGATCAGATGCTGCTTGATAGGTTCATACTTTGTTGTTGATCAGATTCAACTACACCTTCTGTTTCCAACTATTATACATCCTGATCATGAAAAAAATGTGCTTCCTGTTAAACCAAATTCAGATACTAATGATGCATTGGTGCTAGCTTGATGTATAGTTCTTCTTGATATCTGAAAATATAAACAAGAGTACTTTCAAGTTAACAAATAATCATGTTTTGACCCTGGCCATCTAAAAGTCATGTGTCATTTATTAAACTTTATTATCAAAATGGGTATTTAAACATAATGCTAATCTTGGAAACAATACCTAATTGTGTATGGACTAAGGAAAGGATATAATTAGATTTTTTTTTTTTTTAAGTTGTTTTTTTTTATATGTTATTTTCTTATTAGAATTTGAAGTTTTACTTGGCTAACATGTTGATTCTTAATGCGAGCTTTTATTACATGGATTAGACTACTAAGATAAAACTCAATTTAATTGAAAAATAATACTAAAAATTAATAATATATATAGTATTAATTTTAATCTATATATTGTATATTTTACAAATTAATTAATTTTTAAATTAATGATTAATATATTTTTATTTTAAATTTAAATATATCTTCACTTTTAAAAAAAATTAAGTTTCATTATATTAAACTAAAACACTTTTTTTCTGCAAAACCCTGATTACACGTAACCGTTTTGATTAAATAACGACAATATTATTGGAAAAGTGGGAGGTTGTTCTTAAAAAAAAACTCATTTGTAAGGAGCACAAGTGTATTACTATGTTAGTTCTATCTACAATAAATATGCTTAATGAAATTTAAAAAATATAATATATATTTTATATAAAATTGTAAAAATTAAATATATTTAATTAACTTTCTTAATCTATGTAAAATTAATCTTTGTTACTTATATATAGGTCCAAAGGTAGTAGGTGATAAGAGTAAAATTATTAATCGATCAATTTTATTTCCAACATCATCATTTATATAATCTTTTAATCATTAGCATAAGTAATCATTCAATAAACAACGACTTGTTGAAGGAAAATTCTAACTATTTCACACTTAGGGTGTGTTTGAAAAATCTATGAAAATTATATTATTTTAATAATCAATTATTTCTATAATTGATTATAATTAAAATAAAATTTTGTTTAGGTAAATTTGCTAAAAAGAAATTTTAAAATATTTAATTTTATTTGAATACACCAAAAAATAATTTTTATGTAGTTAATTAGCTTAAAAATTTAAAAAAAAGAGAGTATTTTTTTATATGTATCATCATAAGCTTCAAATTTTCAGTTTTATAAAACAACTTATTTTTCAAAAAAAAAAAGTTTATAAATTTTAACTAATTTCCCAAACAACCAGCTTTTTTCGTAAACAACTTTTTATTCTATAAAAAGAGTTGAAAAATGAGAAAATAATCTTTCCCAGAGACGCTTAAGTTGTAATTAAAAGCCTTAAAATGATTGGTTGGTTTTGAAAGAAAAAAAAAGAACAAAAAGAGAGAACATTATTAAAGCTTGAATGAAATATTTTTCCTTTTTTGGAATAAAAAAAATATTACATTGGTTGGTTTGTAACCTCTTTTGGTAAATGAATGAAAAGAAAGTCAAATAAAATCCATAATTACCTTCATATTGAACTGATAATATTTCTGCTTGAATTTGACTTTTGTGAATATACAGACAAAAAATGAGTATATCTTCACAAAACTTCATTTTATTGCAAACATTAGCGATGATTTCTCAAGAACTTGAACAGAATTATTACGATGATATACAATTTGATTCTAGCTAAAAGACTTGTGTTTTCCTCCTCCTTTTCTTTTACTTCATAGCATGATTTCATGGGAAATGTCAAATTATAAGGTGACAGTTGCAATATGAAATGAATTGTCTTCATCATTCAATTTGATTTTAAGTACTTCCATTCCACAACAGTAATATGGATTCAGTGAGACACGTCCCCTTTACCAATACAGATCATGAAACCTTCCTTGAGCATGCTAGCAGCTTTAACAATAGAGGTCCATGAGAAGGAGCCACCTGTGTGAGTGTCTACTTGGAGAATATTAAAATGGCGAATATACTTTGGCTTGGAGCATTTGAACCCACAATTGATCATGCTCATGAATTAAGCTCTCCACACATGCTTGCCAAGAAGGGAAATATTGATGTTTCTAGTAGATCCAACACCCAAATTAACCTCCATTCTTCTTGGGAAGGGTTATAGTTTTTCAACTGACCCAATGAGCATAGGCTTACTCCAAATCAATCTATTGATTGTATTATCAATATGATCACAAATACCTTCAAGAACCCAACAATTCTGCATGGCATAATTCGAGATGGCAGTTAACATTGATTTTGCAAGAGTTATACAACTAGCTCTATTTAACAATTTGCTTTTCCAACCAGCCAAGCGATCTTGAACTCTCTCCACACTTAAGGTATGTTTAGTTTGAGGTTTACATACTAAACATACCTAAACGAATGCTCACGAGTCACAGAATGTTTGGCTATCTTCTTTTGCGCACTGAATGTATTTTTCACTTCAACATTAGTTTCAATCAAAACAACAAGGTTGCCTTTGGTTTCATGTTAATGGGCTTTTTACTTTTCGGTTGAAATTATTAATTTGAAATGATTCCAAAGAATGAAATACTTTGTAACATAGTGACCTCCTGGACATGCTTGCCATGCACACATGAATCTATAGGAATTGAAAAAAAGAAAAAATATATGACCAAATTCCAATTAGAATCTGTTTAGGTACAAGTTTAAAAGCGTTTTTGAGAACTTCTCTACTAAAAATATTATTTTTAGTAAAGAAATAAAAAAAAAAAATTTACCTTATATTCAAATATATTCTTAGTCCATATATTTTTATAATTAAGACACTTATTCCATATATTTTTCTTGTTTAATTAGAGAACAACTAGCTAAAAAGAACAAATTCCAATTAAAATTTATCATACCCTTAAATTTATATATATATATTCTTTATCTTGGTTTAGCAATAGAATAAAACTAGTTGCCCTGACCATTTAACCATCAACCACCCCATTAATCAATTTGACCAAGTCTCTCAAACTAAAATTTTAAGAACTAATTATTAAACCATCAAATCAGTCAATCATTCAAGGCTTTATTTGAAAAAATTTATTTTTAATACTTATAGAAGAAAATAAATAAATAAGTAGAATAAATTAAATTTCTTTTATTAACTAAAATTAACTTATACATATTAAAAATTAAGTACATAAGTTAATTTTAACTTATAAAAAAAGTTTATTATTATTATTATTATTATTATTATTATTATTTTACCTTTTTAAACCCCATTTAGAAGAACTTAGGTGTAATTTATTTGGACTTATCTCATAATATAAGAACATGCATACATGTTTTTGTAAAATATCCCAAGAGTGTCAATTTTGAATACAAATACATAAAAACAAATAGTCAGTATTCAAGAGGTTTTTTGTCCATATTTTGAACAATTGAGAAAATAATTTACTGACAAAATAAATCTTTAAAAGTTGAGGATGAAGTAGACAATCCGTTATTTAACTGAAAATTTTAAAAGAAATTAGTTTGCATGAAATTGTGTCTTACCTAATTTAAATTTTTTTATTACAAACAGATGACTCCTTGATGATGCTAAACTTTGAAAGCCTACATTAAAACTTTATTATATAAAATAGTAATTAAAGCAACAAAAAAACACCTTATTTCATCCAATTGGATAAGATGTAACCGGGTTGGATCAAATTTGAATTTTTTTTTACCTAGCCCAATTAAACTTAATTAAGTTAGATTTGTGAACTATTTTAAAAACAACTTAACCAAACTCCAATTAAGTTGGGTCAAATTGAGTCATCAAGTTAAACAATTAAAAAATAAATATATTTTAAAAAATGAAACATAAACAAAAAAAAAATGCTTAATTCAAATTTCAATACTTGATTCAAAATATAAGTATTACAACAATTACAAATAAGAAACCACAAATTAATATTAATATTCTAAATTAACAAATATTACGTCATTAACATAACAAATTTAAAATTACATAACAAGAAAAATTAAATTATTCTTCTTGTTCCACACTTTCTTCAATTGTAGTCTTTTCTTTTGCATACATCAACTCAACAAAACTTAATATAAACTCATTTAAAGTATATTATATGTTGTATGACGTGTAATATTTTAAATTTAATTGAATAATTTTTTACAAGTTAGATTAGTTGAATCCATCTAGTAACAAATCTATTGACAAATCCATTGACCCATTATCCAATCCAATTATAATAGGTTAAAAAACATTACCCAATCCATCCTAATGAGTCAATCCAACTTACAAAAATGTAAATGAATTAATTTAGATAAATGAGATTCGTATGTGAGTCATTATTCGCTTACGGTCCTTCGGAAGGATTTATATAAATGTCTACCATCGCCATATGAAATCCTTCGTTTTCATCTTAATTTTAGATCAGGGCCATACACTCAACAAAACAATGGCGGTTTTATGATTGTACAACAAGCAACAAATAGTAAACTCATGCTAAACTGAAGTCGGCATATTGAATGACTAAAGCTTTTGGAGTGTGGCATGATAAAAATACAAATGAACCCTCAAGAAAAATTTGACAGACCATTTCAAAAACGAGATGAGTATGGTGTTCAACACCCAAAAGTAAAACTAGCCCTTCAACCAAAAAAGTAGTATGTTCTAATACATATGGCACATGATGATTGATGAAGATATCATCACTACAGGCCTACAGCCTTGCCAGCAGCACAAGCGCAAGGTGCTCCAGCAGTGCTTATACGGTGTATCGACCCTTTGTTGCTCCTTTGGTTCTTGAATCATCCTGTAACAACTAGAGATGTCATAATCATAGATATTTATGCATTACATCATTCAATCGAAATTTAAGAGCATGTGTTTACATGAAAGTTATATGTTATCTTGTCGGTCACATCAATGATTTCCTTCCACTTCCTTCCAATGCTCATCTGCAAAATAAATTCCAAAACAAAATGTCTCACATCTAATGTCATGCTGAGTTTTGGAGGATCAGAAAAATGAACATGATTTATGGCCGAAGGAACGTTGTATTTGCTTAGAAAAGCACTACTACGATTTTGGTACTCGAGGTATAATATATGACAGATTTATACACGATGAAATAATTACCAACTAATATTAACAGATGTATTTGACATGTAAAATAATATGGCTGCTGTTACCAAAAAAGAATGTAGGAGGTTATTTACAAAAGGATTAGAAACTGGCATACTCTAGTAAGATGTGAGAAATCAGATCCTGGTATAAGTAGAAAGCTGTATAAGAAATCACCGTTGATCATTTACAGCACTTTGGGTCCATTTCATTATCAAAAATGTTCTTTATTTTCATTACTTGTTTTTTTTTTTTTTCTTCTAAAAATAGTTTTTATTTTCGAAAAACTTAAGACATGGAAAACTTGTTTGGCAGACTATTTGTTTTCTGTTTTCAGAAAATGGAAATATTGAAAACGTGTACAGTTTAACCATTTTTAATAAAAGTTTATAAAATACTTTTTATATTAAGTTTACAAACAAATTTTGAATAACAATGATAATATATTTAGAATAAGGTAATCAGACACTACAAAATCATAATGATCTATACAAGTTTATGATTCTAGCATTTTATCCAGCAAGTTATCAGCAGAAAGTTAAATGAATATGGAAAACACACAAAAACCAAATATTATCCACAAAATGCAGTACACAAAAGTTAAACAAGTATCGTTCATTCCACTATACTAGAACAGAGATCGGTAAACAAAAAGGAAAACATACAGAGATAAAGAGTGCACAAGTAGAAACATTTCAAATTCTCAAGAGGTAAACCACGTCACACACTGTCAACACATAAAGAAAGTGAATAATTAAATCTTGGAAGTAACAGTAATACGCATCAGAGAAAAAACACAACTTGTGCTGGCTGCCACATGAGTTACAGGTAATCGAAACCTCAATCCTCCATAATCCACAACTAGGCACCAAATCCATAGGGGAGTAGTAGCCAGGAGTAGCCATGGCTAGCATGAGAGAAAAGGTTGCGTTTTCAGAAATATTTTTGAAAGATGTTTTCTAAATCTTGTTTTCTTGAAAATGAAAACAGGAAACACTCAAAGCATACAGGCCCTTACAATTCACACTAAATTCTCATCATCCGCACCTCAAAAACAGGCACACCAAATTTTCACCTATATCAAGCACATCATACTTTTTTCTACCATTTTCACGTCTCCAATTCACCTAAACCACATTTAGCAGCATACCTTACTAAAAGTTGCAGAGGGTGTAAAGATAGGGTCAAGAAAGGTTTTACACATTGAGTGGGAGGGAGTGGTCAGGTTCCTGAAATTACCTACATGTTCTTTCTCTGTAATTCTCTCGTCATGACTCACCAGTCAATACACACTCTCATTCTTTGTCTGTTTCATTCTTCCGCTTTCCTTTTCATATTACCCTGATCCAATTCTATCACATTGAAGGTTGCAGGATATTGTAATTCAGCAGAACTTCTTATTTGGTTTATGGGGAGCACGCAAAGTCCTCAGGTTAGAATGGTTGGTTGGTTTGGGATAGATCAAACTAATTTCAATGGTTTGGACATTGAAGGAGGATAGTAAGACAAAAGTGCTTTAAGGCAGAACCTGAATTAAGGTAAACCTGCGCATCCATAAAGTTCATTAAGGGAGCCACATGGGATCAACAAGGATTCATTTTAGAGATCAGACATATTGCTGATCAACCTGCGAGAGAGGTTGAAGAGGAAGCACCATACAAGGTGTTTTAGATAAGTATCAAGATGTCATCCAAGCCCCTGCCCCTCAAGGTCTACCACCACATATGGGACAAGATCATGCAACAGTGCTGAAACCAAAGGCTCAAATTCCAATTATAAGAAATAGTGCCCTATGGTATGAGGATATTTATAGCCACAATAGCAACAATTATGTGTCTGAGAAGGATCATACAATACAGCTGAAACTAGAAGGCAGAGCGGTGTGTTGATAATTTACATGTGTCTTAGTTTTTAGTATCAATTGTGTGCATATCACAAAACTAATCAGTTTTTATAATACATTACACATCTGCTATCTACAGTGTAGCAACCCTTCCCAATTAGCTATGCCACTGGCATTTTTGGGGTGATCACTTCATGCCACATTCTGTCATTAACTACTTTGAGAAACAGAGGCACATCAAAGAATACTGTAGAGTTGTGGTTACCTACATCATCGGTGTTTAAGCCTTGCAAAGGAACTACCACAAGAAAATACTCTGATGGGAAAAGTAAGGAAAACAATATGCTAAAGTTTCCTCTTCAACAAGCACTAGATTGTAGTAGCCAGAGCAAGGCATCAACAACGAAAGTGTAATCAAAATATTTGATGCATTTCAGTGACGCGTCTATTACAGTTTTTTTTTGAAAAGGAGGAGTCTATTCTATCCAACTCTTGGGAACCGACCAAATTGATTGATAATTGATAATTTGAAGAAAGGAAGATATAGTAGGGAATCCAATCATAATTTCCACTTCACATTTCAAGCCTTTCATAATCAATATTCAACAACAGGAAATCATACACAGACAAGATAACAGAACAGCACATAAAGTTGCAGTTGCAATTATCATCTACAAAATAATAACAATTAACAAACCTGGGCAGCCTCATTTGCCGCTGTCTTTGTCCACAACGAAAGTTTGTCCTGCCACTGGCGCACACTCGCAACCACGCCGCATATGTCCTCAGCATCCTCAAATTGCTCCCCAACCAAAGCCATCAACTATTCAGAAGAACAATCACAAATAAACACCAGATCTCCCCATATTCTCTAAACCCCAAAACAAAACCATAAAAAAAAACAATAATCAATTACAGTTTCAAGCCACATGTTATCAAGGTTAGCCTTCCTGTTGCTGTTGTTAGTGACAGACCACTTTCCTCCATTGGCACACTCAGGATCTTCCCACTTCGGTTCAATCCCAGCCTTGAACAAGTGAAAATCCGCATTGTTTTGCAACTTGCTGGGCTTGAATACCTGATCACACAAACTACACCCACCAACAACATTTCCCACATCAAAGTCATTTCTTCCAATAATCAACCAACACTTAAATCATACAAAAAATATTAAAAACCATAAATCCCCATTTTAGCAACAAAAGATGAAGACCCTTTAAGGGTTTCTCTCCTAAGATCCATAAAAATCAATCCTTTTTATTTTTAATTAATAACTAAATAGTGGCATCAATCACAATCAAGCCCATAATAAGAATTCATATAATATAAGATTCCAGATTGCATGCTTGGATTTAATTCATAAAAAAATGAGAATTGGGGTGAGAGAAAAGAAGATTACCACCAAAACTCTTCAACGGTGTCGAAGGTGTAGACCTTGCGAAGAGAGGTGCCCCAAGCAGCACCCTGTTTGGGTTTGGATTGGTTGTCACACCAAAAGGTCCATTTCCGCTCAAGTTTATGCTTCAACCCTGCCTCCGGTGCCGGCGCCGCCGCAACCACTTCTTCACTTGTTGCCATCTCTCTCTCTTCCAACAACTCTAACACCAACGATCAGGTTATGCTTCCAGGGCTTTGTATTTCGGCACAACACCGGCCCAAAACCTAACATACATTCGTTTGCAAAAAACTATTTTTCTTAAAAATAATTATTTGTTTGTGTAAATTAATTTTTTTTAATGGATACAGAACAATAGTACAATAATAATTATGATTAAAGAAATGGTTGATATTATAACTAATTTTAAATTTTATATTATTTTTTTAATTTTATTATAAATCTTGTAAGAGTAAAATTATTTTTTCAATATTAACTCTTACCGGCATTGGTATTCACATGTATTTAATTTAAAATATATTTTTATAAAATAATATATTAAAAATAAATTATTTTTATTATTTTTCATGTTTTAAAACATATATTACTTATATTTTAAAATTATTGTTAAATTTTTATTTTATGATAATAAAAAAGATGATTATAGTATCCATAAATTAATACATTTAATATATATTTTTTATAATACAAATTTTATTATGAAATCATAGAAAATTAATTTATAAATATATTTTGTTCATATGAACTAATTTATACATTGCAACATATAATTGATTGATTGTATTTTGATTTTTTTTCACAATCAATATGTTTAGGACCTATTTGCTTGTGTTTCTTTTTATTTTTGTTTGAGTCTCTCATTTCCTAGCATGTGTCCATGATTGGACTTCATCCATTGCATTAGATTTTTGTTTTTGAATCCTTGTTTTGTCATAGAAGTCATGTGTAGTCCTTTTCATGTTGAAAATTCCCAAACTAGCTTGTTGACCTAATTTTTTTGTGTGTTGTTTGTGTTCGAAATTTTTTGTATATTTTATTATTTTTCATGTTTTAAAACATATATTACTTATATTTTAAAATTATTGTTAAATTTTTATTTTATGATAATAAAAAAGATGATTATAGTATCCATAAATTAATACATTTAATATATATTTTTTATAATACAAATTTTATTATGAAATCATAGAAAATTAATTTATAAATATATTTTGTTCATATGAACTAATTTTTTTATTATTTTTCATGTTTTAAAACATATATTACTTATATTTTAAAATTATTGTTAAATTTTTATTTTATGATAATAAAAAAGATGATTATAGTATCCATAAATTAATACATTTAATATATATTTTTTATAATACAAATTTTATTATGAAATCATAGAAAATTAATTTATAAATATATTTTGTTCATATGAACTAATTTATACATTGCAACATATAATATAAACTCAATACTTCATTTTTCGACACTTAAAATCTTTTTGATGTCTAATTTTTGTAAATTTATTGAATAAGATTAACATCGACAATAATCTCAAGAGAAATGTCTACATGCGAAAACATTTGCAACATTTGCAATGAAAGCCTTATCATTTTTTTTCTAAAATTTAATGTATTTAAATTTGATAGATAGTGTTGGGATGAATATGAAATATTTAATTACTTTTTTTTATACCATGAAAAATTGAATTGCTTAAGAATATTTAATATACACTATATATGTGTATGTGTCATGCACGTGTATTATTGTAAAATTAGTCAATACATTAAAAATAATTATTTCACCTAAAAATATAATTTAACCTAAAAATTAATAAATTACATTAATTACTAATTAAAATGCTAACATTAAAAATTTAAATATAATTGATGAAATATTATAAATCATAAAATTATATTGCAGAAACAAATTTGATATATGAGTTTCTACTAATAATAAGATTAAATTTGATAATAGAAATTACATATATTTATGTTCATTATTTTACACATTCTAAACCCATTAAATATAAAGACATTATAATAAAATAATTTCGTCAATCTCATATTTTGTAGGAAGTGTATTGGATTATGATTTTGAAAGACAATTTTACCATAAAATAGTTCTGTGAATTTTAATGAATTTTAAAAATTTTTATAGGAATGTTATGATTTTTAATTTTTTTTAAAACTAGAATTTTAATTCAAAATTTAATGGATTTTGATGGATTTATATTATAAGATCTTAAAGGATTTTAGGAATTTCACAGAAAAAATATATATTTGTAATACTACAAGATTAAATAAATAAAAAATATAACATAAATAATAAAGAAAATCAAAACTAATACAATTTTTTCTATTTTTTGACAAATAATTGACTTTAATGTCCTCCTAACTAACATTTCTTCACATATCTAAAGTTATACTAGTCTTCCATGCATTCACATCTTCTCATGCACTTGAGTTTGAACAATATGTTCAAAACTATGGTCTTCATTAACTGATAGCATTAAAGATGAAGACTCGTCCATTAATTCAATTGGAAAATTTTCATAATGATATTCTTTGTGAAGAAAATTGTGTAGTGTTACATACTAATACAATTTTAGCTTGTATCTTAAATAAAAATAGAGGCCTTGAATTAAAAATTGGCGTAAATTAAAAACTTCATTTTCATTATGAGAGTCATTATCAAAGAAAAAGAAGAAGAAGCAAGAATGACGAGAGAGAAAAGAAGAATATAAGAAAGAAGCAAGTAAGGCGAGAGAAAAATATTTAAAAGAGAGAACAAAGAAAAAAAAAAGCAAAAAAAAAGGAAAAAAAGTCATGCAAAATCTTAAAGATTTTGGTGAGGTTGTTGCTCGTTCATGTATATGTATCACTATGTTCTTTAGAATATTGGGGTTACACTATCGTTTAGTGATTTGGAATATTCATTTCTAAGCCGGACAATGTTGCATTGAGCCAACTTCATCTCAGTAGTTGGATGCTTTTTAGAGCCTTTCAAGAGTTGTGTACATATATTGGGATAGAGCCAACTTTGGTCATGTTCCTGTTCTTTTATCAAATGAAAGTGGACCCTCTTGTAGGTTGGATTTCATTAAACAAGTGGAATAATAACGGTTTTTTCAGCCTATTTGCCTAGTCATTCAAGGGTTTCAAGAGTGATTATGTCTACATAGGGGTAGAATGTCATGTTTCAAGACCCGAACAAGGCAGCTAAGTTTTCTTGGTATTGGAGGGGGAATCCTCATAAATCCCATTGGTGAAGAAAAAATAGGGATTACAAAGGTTGATGTTAATTAGTGCTTGGAGTTGGTTAAGTTACCTTGTTCTTTATATTTGAAGTTTATGCTTGTATTGTTAAACGTTGTCAATCTAGACTGAGTTTTTGGGGGTGAGTGTGGTTGTGTCAAGTTTTTTTATTTGGTTTTGCTCTGTTATTGTTGATTGTTGTGTTTTATATTAATACGTTGTTTATTTGTGCCCTGGATTGATAAAGAAGAGCATGTGAAAACAATTGAAAACGAAGTTCAAGGTTGATGGTGACAAGTAAAGGCAACGATTGTGGTTAGGACTATTGAGGAGAAGGTGGTGACAAAAAAATATTATTGTTTTGAGGGTTGTTGGTTGTCCAATGTCGTAGTTGCCAAAGAAGTCAAACTTGCATGGGGCGAGTAATCTAGTTGTTGTGACTAACTAGAGGATGAAATCTCCACTTGCGAAGAAACCAAAAGTGGTGAGCTCGAGTCAAGGCTAGGTGGTTTATAAGACTACAATGAATGTGGAGATGAAACATGTGAGCGCAAATGCTTGGGAGATTAAAGGGGAACTTGTTGTTGAGGAAGGGAAGATGGTTGGTGGTGTACCAAATCCAGGTGGGGTTAAATGAGGGGCCTAGCCTCGTTGATATTGTTGACAAGGGGAAAGGCCTCGTGTTTCCCCAAGGGTTATTATTTGTGTGATATATGTGTGATGTGTGAGAAAGCATATTTACGAGAGTTTGTTGCTTAATGACTTTGAAAATTGTTGGGTCAAGGTGTGAGTGCAAATATTGTTGTTGTTTATTTGCACTACAACTAGTTTGCTCACAAATTGCGTCCAAACTCAAAAGTCCATGTTTTTTTGTGAGGGCATAAAAGCTAGTTTGCTTAAAAATCGTGTTTGAATACAAAAGTTTGGGTGTATTTGTGAGGGTGCAAGAGTTGATTTGCTCAAAAATCATGTTTGAACTTGGGAGTTCATATGTATTTTGTAGGGGTGCGAAAGCTCATTTGCTCGAAAATCATGTTTAAAATTGAAAGTTCATGCAAATTTGTCAGGGTGCAAGAGCTTGTTTGTTCAAAAATCGTGTTCAAACTCAAAAGTTTATGTGAATTTTTTAGGGTGCGAGAGCTTATTTGCTTGAAAATTATGTCTAAACTCAAAAGTTTGTTTGAATTTTTTAGGTTGCAAGAGCTCGTTTGCTCTAAAATCGCATCTAAAGTCGAAAGTTCGTGTGAATTTGTTAGGGCGCGAGAGCTCATTTGCTAAAAAATTGCATTTGAATTTGAGAGGCGAATACGTGTGGGTAAAGAATGTGTGCATATACATTATTGTGAATGAAGGATCGAAGAGGCAACTTTTATTGATATTGAAGAATTGTAGTTGTCTTGGTGTGCTTCATTAAAACCCTCTTAGCCAAAAACACTTTATTTAAGGAAAAAGAAAAATAAGACTAAGATAAGAAAAATAATATATAATCAGATGACATTGTTGAGCTAAAGTAGTATGTTAAATAGGGATTGCTTGATGTTTAGAGGGTGACTTCCCTTGTGACTCTTGAAGTTGAGATGCGAATTGATTTGTATAGCCAGTATGTGGTGAACTTGTGAATGTCACTGTATTTTTATTGGTAGGTGGGTTGGTTGTATGTCTTAGGGTGATTTTCAGGCTTTTAGTGTAACATTTCTGTTCCATTCATTGGTTAGCTCAGATTATGGCTATTCTCTTATCATTGGTCGGGAATTTCATCATGAGGTGGGGTGTGAATACTACACAACCTAGGGCGTTGAGGGAAGGTTCCCCAAGTATGACATTGTAGGAGGTCACTGTATCCACTAATAAATATTTCACCCTTAGTGACTTGGTGCATTTGTCATTGTCGAATTTGGTCAAAAGTTCTATGTGTAGCCCCTTTTGTAAGACCCGTGAACCTCCTTCACTCTCATTATCTCTCAAACATCTAAACCTTTATTGTTGTTTTCTTTCCCCCAAGGCTGAGGTGGTGAGAACTAAGGCTGTGAAGCAAGGTTCATCGTCCAT